CGAAAGAGTCGGCCGTTAATGCGGAGTGGGGGTTGATTGCGAAACGCGGGCTTACAATTGATTTCACCTGATCCCGCTACCCCCCGCCCCCTCCGTTCGGAATCCTTTCAACCCTGCTCTCAGCCGATGCCGCGACACCGGTGTTTGATCCTGCTTTTCATTTCGTTGCGTTGACACAAGAGCGTATCCTCATTTTCATCTGAGCCCTGAAACACATAGAGTCGTTTAGAAAGTAGGGTTCGACTCAGGCAGCAGTTACGCTTTTACGTCTTCCGAGCGACGATTTGAAGGGGGTGGGGGCGGAAAACCAACACGATATGACACTATCCACCGTAGTTGCTATTCGAGTGGCTCCAAGTTGTGGGAAAACGTCGTATGAACATTCGATTGTTGCCATGATTTGTCCGATTAAATATTTTTCGAGAAATTTGTGTGAATTGTACACGTGCTTTGGACAAAATTGCCAAGAAACTCCTTTTAAAAAAAGAGAGAGATAAACTCAGCGTAAAAATTCGCAAGTTTTCCAGAAAATTCGTGTTTTATCAGGGAAAATTTGGCAACGTATGAATTTCAACACGGTGTTTTTCCCAGCAGGGCAGAATGGCGATGGAGCTTTTTATCGCGTGAGGCTAGCAAACTAACGAAACGACCAGGTTTAAACTGATGGTTGGGGAAGACCTAATGAACCATCTGGAACAGCATCCTGGCAAGGAGTCTGTTGCAAACGAGAGATGCTGAGAAAACGAAGTGAACTTGCCAAAGGTAAAATTTCCAAGAAAAGAGAACACGGTTAGTACATAAAAAATGTCTCAAAAACAAGTCGGACTGCACCATTTGCGCAGTCAGAATTGTAAATTTTCAAATTTACCGCGTCCGGAGGAATGTATTTTTATCGCGTTTGACTTCAATCGTTTAAAGCGTTCGAACTGTACTTTTGTAGGTACAAAGGCCAAATCAATGATTTAGATTAATTTCAGCCATATATGAGACGGATTTTTAGCAGTTTTCGAGAATGCTCGTTAATTTATGTACTATCTGGTGACTAAGATAAAAAGAAAGTCTTAAATTAATTTCTGTTTAAACATCTTGTGTTCTGTGTTCATGTCTTACATTATTCTTGTTTATTATATCATGATGAAAGTATGAATACTTCTTATTTATTTAATGAATGTCGATCGGTGAGGCTAGGTGAGAAACGTTTGTCCCGAGAGGATCAGCGTTTTGTCAGACAAGTTTCATTCTTGCGCTCTCAAAACGCCTTCAATTAGAGAAGATACGAAACGCGTACACCCTTGCTCGAATAGTTGCATGTTGCGTTTTCGCCAGAATCTCCCAGGGATTGACGCTGCTTTAATGGGATTACCTCTCACAAGTCCGATACACTTTAGTGGGGGAAACCTTAAAAAGTAAGCCATGATCAGGGATGGGGTTGTTGTGCTGGAAATCGTATCAACTAATCGAACCGGGATTGAGAAAATATAGCGCAAGTTGGAATAAAAACAACAAGGCAGCGTTTCAGTCTCTCGACAGTTGACTCGACCACAATGATGCTCTCCGTTTCTCCGGGGATACCCTTGCTTTTTCGCTCTTGTTAGCCCTGCTCCCTCGACAAACGCCCCCCGGCTACGGTTCCCCTCCTCCTCCCCTTCCACCGACCCCGACGCATTAACCCTTCCGTGCGTCCGTCACTCTGCCGGGTCGCTTTCTCTTCCCGCGTAATTCTCTCCTGATTTTTAAATCAAATATTTAAGCGTTAAAAACACTCGACGTAACGAAGCCAGACTCAAGTCTCCCCCCTCCCCCAGCCTTCACCCTCTTTTCCCCCTTGGCGCAGCTCCGTTCTCCGTAGTGTGTTACGTCACGGTGTCCCAATTCCCCCATACTTTACCTATTCCGATACTGAAACTCGGAAAACCTGCATCTCAGCCCCAGTGTTGCCGAATAGCTCGCGGAAGATTTTTAATTCCTGAAGTTTTCAATATTTAACGTGAAATAAACTGAGTCTAACAGAAAGGAAGCAAGTCACATTAAATTCGAATCGAGAAATAAGGCTCAAAGTTATATTCCATCATAAGGTTTAATGTTGGTGTTAACATTAGTGCATTTTTTTTTAAAATTATTTTTATTTTTTTTTTTACTCGAAGTATTTTTTCCCTGCACTTTCACTTTTTCACATGCGAAAAATTTTTGTCAGGTATGCTGCAAAATACCCTAAACTTATTTATTCCCAAAAATGTTTCTTGGTTCTTTTTTTTTAATTCAGTTCAAATTTCCGAAAGATTTCACGCGCGAGAGATGAAGAGAAGGAAATTATTGAAGTTTTTAGAGGAATGATGCATACCATTCCTTTACTTTTTCGTTCCATACAACGATGAAGTTTACAACCTGGTCAAGCCTAGATCGTTTTCCAGATTTTTGAAGGGTTTTTAGATTAATATCTGTGGTCGATCACAGGAAAAGGGACCTCATTAGGCGCAAGTGCAAAATTTCTATAACCGTATTTTTCAAATTCACCGTTACCCAACTCAACCGAAGAAAGATAAAGCTAGAAAACATACATTTGAAAGACCCTTTGCCAAGTATCCAAATTTCGGATATCAACGACATTTTTCCACCAATAATGATCGATGCACCGGAAAAAAGTCCATTGATTTTAGAGTCCAGACTCTCGAAACATTTGACAAGAAAAAATACTCCTGATCCAACAGGATTTTTTCTTCAATCGAGAGCTAAGAACCTAAATTTAAGCGGATTTCTTCTCGATTCAAGCCAAAACCTGATTGAATCAAGAGTATTTTTTCTTACCCAATTTTTCAAGAGCCTGAACTCTACATCCATGAGACTTTTTGTTTTCAGTGTGGGGAACTGATAGAGCACAATGACTCGCTCACTGTTAAACGATAAATGTCTCGTTGAGTCCTTAGCTACGAGAATATTTCACATTAGATTCAGGTTTGCGAAACCAATAGATTATATTCGATACATCAAACAGGTGAGATTGTATCGATATCGATTGGTTCAACATGTAAACATAACCTGAAAAGTTAATTTAGGAGTCTGAGGTAACGGGTCTTTTATGATTGAATTTTTATTATTTCGAGTACCAAATGTTAATGAACAGGAAAATGGTCAGGAATTTTCTCATTTTCAGCTTTTCCAACTTAAATCCTAATATTTTTGTTTGGGGTTATGTTCTATTCTTTTGAACCAAACGATACATCAAACCACTCTCGAATACAATCTATTGCTCGACTCTTTCATCAGTAGCCATGACTCAGGGAATCCAAGCGCGTTGACTCTTAGATCCCGAACGAAATGAGGATGGAAGTATTCCAGTGATGATCGCGGAGTCCATACATTTCGGACGCAATTCCACATAATCTCTCAGTGCCACCGACCACACGAGCATTCACCTACATCTTTCATTTTCCTTTTCATCATTCAAAGCACAGAAATCCCCCGACCCCCGTTCGCCCGCCCGGGCGGAGGATCAAATTCGATTTTCATCGTAACTCAGATTCGAAAACGTCGGGTTCCTCGCACAGTTTTACTAAATGAGTTCAATCCCTCTCAAGCTCGTTCCCCCCGCCAAGTACCCCGGATCCCGTATCCCCGTCTTTTCGTCGCTGCTCCGCCGTAAGGGCGTATCTCAATCTCCATATGAGCCCCGGAAAGCATGATGTTATATGGTGAACAGGGCTCGAGCTAAAATCGAGATACGCCCTTGCGTCGGAGGAGCGACGTTTTGAGTGCGCCTTACTGTGCTCGTATCGGCAATTTCAATACGCCCGCGTAATGGAAGAAGCCGGGATCCGGGCGCAAGATGCTGATTGCTAAATCTGGAACGAGCTTCACGTTTTCATATTCGCAGATGGCACGCTCGATTTTGAAATGAGCGTGTGTGTCGGAAAGAGTGTATCTGCGCGCGGGGGTTGTGTGGAGATAGGCGGTTTTTGTAGGGGTGCATGTTCGGATGTTTGTTCGCCCGACTCGTCCATTTTGCTGACAATAAGTTGGATTTAATCAGCGTTTCTTGTGAGCGCCGCGAATGTCTGAGAAAGAGGATGCAGTTCATTAAGGGCGCGTGTATGCGAGCGTTGTTTTCCCTTTGTTGTTCTACGCTCTCATAACTTCTTGAATGGAGGTTTGTAGAGTTTCGTAATTTTCCAGAAAATATTTGAGAAATGATGTCCGCTAATTTCTTTTAAGTAAATGTATCATTTTTGTTAGAAAATGTTAGCCTGAAACAGTTTTGATAAATGTTTTGAATAAAAACATACCGGTCAAATTCCCTTTAATAGTTTCACGAACGATGTTTAGTAAAACATTTTCACATTTACATTTCTCGTGTGTTTGTTTGATACCTTCGTTCAGCAGTGTTTCTTATAACGTTGAAGGAGTTCTTTTCGTCTTTTTTTCTCTGCCCTCCCCCCTCCCTCCTGTAATTTTTGTTCTGCAAGAACCTATGGATACTTTAATCGGTATTGTAGAACGGATGTACCACTCTTATGATTAATAACGACAAAATGAACTTCTTAACGTAACCTGCAGTGTAACTTAAATTATTGAACAAAGTAAAAGAAAAAAGTCACCAACAAGATCATTCAAATGTTTCTCAATCCATGATAGTGATTCTGTGAGATAAAATTTTAATCTTTCGTAACTTTAGCGCTACGGATGGAAACAGCCGAAAGGGGAGCCTTTAGCCGCAACACGAAATATTTTTTAATTTTTCGGTTGACCTTCAACTTCAAAAAAAAAAAAGCAATGAACGGCAGTAGGTAAAATTATTGGTGTTTCAGTCGACTCACACTGATAACATTCTCAAGTTTTCGGAAGACTTTCTCCACCGTATCCTAAAGTTTAAAAAACCAAGACTCCATTCCAAGTCTCTCAAATGTCACAAAGAGCTCCTATCGTCTTTTTTCCATCCAGTGTGCTTTTAAGCAAGAAAGGTAAAAGTTTTGGCTCTCCAACTCAGATTTGATATATTTTTTCAGATTCTACAATGTGCTGTGTGAATTGAATATTTTCAAAGAACTTGTGCCATTGCAGTTATGAAATGACTAATTCTTATTAATATCTGATACAATGGCCAGAACTTAAAAATGTTGTGCTTCGTGAAAATAGCTGTATCCCCAAAATATACATCTTTCTTCTGACGGGATATTTACAGCCTCCGTCCCTTTTCTCCGCAACTCAACTGTAACCGTAACACGCAAGTTCTTCAGATACTTCGCTACAAACTAACGAGCAGTGAGAAATAATGGATTAACCATACGGGTCCGGACATGTTTAGAACTTACTTTTAACTTAGTAAAGTCATTTAAAACCAGCCAACGCCGTATGTGCGTCGTCCTTCGGAAACTACATCGAACGGTCGATGATTTTAAAATCAGTGTCATTAGTAATCCAGCCAGTTAAACTTTGAAACACCTCAGCGATGATTGAAACCAATCGATATTATGAACTTTCACTCGCGACGAAGGTATGTTTTTGAATTCTAAGTTGTCCGAAACCACTTTGTCGCATATTGTGCTGATCCTTCAGAAATGCAATCTCTCCTGAACGATGCGTTGAATTTATCCTAGTGCAACTTTGATCTCGCGGTTTTAATCGAGGAATTTCAAGTCAGATTAACTGGTTATACCGAATTCAGTATGTAGTTACTCCCAATTGAAAAAAGTTCTGTTCGACCGAAGACCCCGGTTCGGGAACCGAGGACGGGCGTCAAGATGGACTCCCTGGAGCGGCTGATGGATATGTCGGCGGCCCACAATCGGAACCGCCCTCTGGTGGAGAACAATAACAACAACAACAACGGCAACAAGGCCGGGAACCTGGCTCACAGCCTGGCTTCCATCGTCGCGCGCAAGGGTAGACACCTAACCGGCACGTTCTGCCTCACCGGCGATGCCATGGAGGCCATCATCCAGTGCTTGGTCTTTCTCAAAGCTTTCTCGGTAAGTTCGCACGAGCCTTTCACAGCAATTTGTATTTCCGAATCGGAAATATATGTCTTTTCCTGAAGATGATTAATTGTTGTTTGTTGGACGAACGCATGGTTATTTATACATTGGAAAGACTTCAAGTGTACTTGAATTTTGACTTTTCAAGAGTGGAGTTCTTGCTAAGGTCAAGGATTTTTGATTCCTAATCACATGTGTGTAATATATTGAAAAAATTATCATCCATACAATTCCTTAGGCCCAAAAAAGTTCTTAAATGGAAGGCCGTAATGCCGGATTATTACACCAAAGTAGCAGGTAAGAAAGTGCACGCCTATGTTCAGTCAAATTCTCTAATTCTCAGAAGGCACGAAGAGGCTATTTTTCCAACGAAGCGCTGGTGAAGTCTTAGCAGAGTGGAACCTTGCCTACAATCCTACATATTCAGCCGTATCCCCGCATTGACAATTTGACCATACATGGGAGTGACATTGAACTCACCTAATATTTTCATCATGCACGGAGAAAAAAACCTCGTGCGTGGGACCCGCAGTTTAGGTCATATGGATCTCTGAAGTTTTCAGATTGAGCATCTGAACACTTTAGGTCTAGCTGTCGAGGTTCGGATCACATATCTGAAACTTCAGTTCTTACATCTGAGGTACTTCAGATGTGAGAACCGAAGTTTTTCGGATGTGAGAACCGAAGTACTTCAGATGTGTGATCCGAAACTCGTCAGCTAGACCTAAAGTGTTCAGATGCTCAATCTGAAAACTTCAGAGACCCATATGACCTAAACTTCGGGTCCCACGCACGAGGTTTTTTTCTCCGTGTGGCCCAAGTTGAACTCTGGAGCAGATTGTAGACAACAACAACGCCTCCTCGGAAAGTTTTCCACGAGATATTTTCAATTTCAATATACTCCCAGCCTGAATTAAAAAATCCTCATCGCTCTCCACGCTTCAGTTAATTATGGAAACGAATCATATTTTACCCTCGTCTTCAACATGTATACTGTGTCGGCTCCACTCAAGCTCGGGAATGCTCCATTTTTGCCGGCAGAAGGGTAGGGCCTATCCCCTCGCTTTTTTACTGTCTTTTAAAAGCGCCGCCGGTTACAGAGTTTCAATAAGTTCAACTTTATCACCGCGGAGCCCGTATTTGGCGGGCTTCACGCTGTTTGGCTTGACGCACATTGTTTAGGGATGCCGCTAACATTTGATTATTCGCTGTTTTGAATCTGAGTTCTCCCCCCTCCCGCTCCCCGCTCCTCGGTTTTGTACCCTTTTATTACTTTCTCTTCATTACTCGCGAAAGGGTCCAGAAAGAGAGGATTGAAATTGAGATAAATGTGCTGCTCTCAGTTAGTCGGCTCATTTATCTCTTTTTTGATGGCATTTTGGCGGGACGGTCGCCGCGCTGTCGGTTTTGGCTAGGACTTTTTCTGCCAAATGTTTCAAACTGGGTGAAAAAAACCTGTTTAAAATCCCCTGGCATTCAAAACACACTGAGAACAAGCGGGGAAAATCTCAGCTGTTTTCTATGTAGGCGCGTTTTCAAGTTCCCCGAAGAAGATGAGCCCCATCGAGAGGAAAGAACTCGCTCACCAAAATTTCAGCTGTCAATATTGAAAAACTACACTATCGCTAGAAAAATGAATTATGAAAAAACGATTATTGTCCTCCATATTTGGGTTTTCGGGCGTTTCCTACTTTAGGTTTTTTATGCATAAAAGCATATATCTCCATCATTGCTGGTTGTAATAGTTTGGCATTTAAAGTAATTTGCGCTTTTTCCTGATCAGAAATTTCAACGACCGAACGATATTGTATTAGCACTTACTTATTTTTCTTGTGAAACTGGAGGAATCTGAAAATCCCGTCCCTGCTTCAGTTTTATGACGCAGCAATTGGCAAAATTTGAGTTCTATATTGCTAAAGTCCGGATATTCTCAGCCCATAAGAAAAACATCCGGAAAATCGGGCACATTGTGATTCTTATATATTTTGTAAGACTTTTGGTGGAAGTATAACACCGGGTTCTCTTAGTCTCGAATAAAAGCGGTCAAAATGATAGTATTCCGGATGAAAGGACTGAATTTAAGTAAAGCTCCAGCCGAAAACACTCTGACTAATCAGAATTGCGGAGGAAGAAATTCCGGATAATCCGAGTTCCCGACGAGAGATATTAAAAAAATTAGAATTTTCGGTCTTATAATTTCATCTCGGGGAAAATCCTCCGTTTCTTCGGTCGATCCGGCAATTGCGCGAGAAACGGCCGAGAGGAAAAATCGGACTCTGGAAAAGGACGAAACAAGAATTAATGAATTGAATACAGAGCATCGGAGTAAAAAAGCTGCAGGGATTCTGCCTCGGGGGAGGGAGGGGGTACTCGGCGAGCGCCCCTGCCGTGAAGGAGGCAGCAACCCTTCACACGTCTCCGTCGCGGAAAACCGCGCAAATGCGTGGGGTTTTCGCGGGAGTTGAGTGGTTTGGAGCGAACGCGGGAGGCCTAATCCCTCCTCATGCAACGGGATGGTTGTTGGATCGTGTGAATAACAATAATAAGCCCGGATACACTCCTGCAAAAGCGTGAACCTCGTCCCTCGAGTGTGAATGCGAGTGGAATTTTAGCGACAACACGATGTCGTCGCTGTGAAAATTTAATCACCGCTCGCGACAGTCTCGATTTTTTAAAAATGTTTCGTGTTGGTAGATGTCAACATGTTTTAATTTAAGTCATAGCATTCGGTGGGATGCGCATTGGAATTGATATATGCAAAGCGATAGACGAAGGAGGTAGAAAAAAATTGGAGGGATTCTATCAGGGAAAGCGGTTGTTTCGGTTGGGCAAAGGAGGAAAGTAATAAACTATCTAAGGGCAACCCACGAAAGTAGGTCTTAGTCTCACTGGAAAAAAACACTTTGGATCTAGAGTCCAGACTCTTGAAAACATTGATAAGAAAAAATACTCTTGATTCAATCAGATTTAAGCTTAAATCAAAAGGAAATCCGCTCAAATTAAGAGACTTGGTTCTTGATTTAAGAAAAAATCCGATTGAATCAAGAGTATTTTTTCTTGTCGATGTTTTTAAGAGTCTGGACTGTAGATCCAATGTATTTTTTTTCTAGTCTATAACAACTACCCCTTTCAACCAATAGGATCGCTCCCTTTCGAGTGGTCTTCTTTGTTGATAGCTTTGTCTAATAATTTTAAGGATCAGTCCGCTTGACTGAGAATTTATTGGATTCACCAAGAGCTCTTCATGTCCTCCGGAAAACCAGGGATTTTGGAGGAGTCCACTCAACGGAGGAATTATAGATGAACTGGGAAAGCACTGATTTTGAAATATGGGTAAGAAAGTACGGGCATCCCATGGATTTTTCATGAAAACATACGGACAGTAGTGATTTTTGTAATAGCCCTAACGAAAGAGCCGTGGAGATAATTTTGTGTAAATCGTTAATTTTTGTGTGGTTCAGAAGTATGTGTCTATTTCAATAATTGTGTACCATTAGCATCATTGTATACTTTAGTGTACCATTGATAGTACCGTGAAGTAGTCAATTTCATCACGTTCCCGCGAAATCTTTGGCAGTACAGTCAGGACAGTAGTGATTTTTGTAATAACCCTAACGGAAGAGCCGCGGATATAATTTTGTGTAAGTCGTTAATTTTTAATGTGGTGCAGAAGTATGTGTGTATTTCAACAATAATTGTGTACCATTAGCATCATTGTATACTTTAGTGTACCATTAGTAGTACCGTGAAGAAGTAGTTAATTTTATCACGTCCCCGCGAAATCTTTGCTACATTTTACGTTTTTTATTTTCTGATTCTTATTTTCCTTTGCTTTTTCTTTTATTGCCACACACTGCATAAAAGGCGCTTCCACAACGCTCTCTGGCGTTCTGCGACATCCAAACGCCACATGTGACTATCTTCCCAGAGGTTGTCGGGCAACTGACACCGCAGCATTTCTTCGCCATCACCCTGCCGTAATCCCTTCACGGGACGTCCTCTTCGCCTTTTTCAAGATGTATCCAATCCAAAACTTGTTCGGGCAACCTCTCCTCCAACATTCTTTGCAAATGTCCATACCACACCAACTACCTAGACATGATGTCGTGCTCAATATTACTTTTAACCTTCATCACTTGGCAAATTCTTTAAATACGGACCCGTCTCGAGATGCCGGCAGATCGCCACCAAAAATCCACTTCAGTTGCCTTCAACAAGTTTGAAGTTTTGCGTTCAATTTTATTATTAAATATTCATAATTCATTTTTTTATTTTTTCCTCTTTTGTAGAGGTGGTACCATTTAGCAACACTGTCCGGGAGACATCAGCTCGAACAGCGCTAATGATCGAAGTCGCATTAAAATTTGATTCCCTAATGAATGTGTTTGATTCATCAAACATCATTTGTTGCGCGAACAAACGAGATAATCCTCTCCCCCATTTTTTTCCTCGGTCATTTTTTCCCCGAGCCGCGCAATCAATTCGCCCCTCGCGCCTTGGCATTTGAATGAACCTGAGAATCGGCGCTCAAAATTCATCAGAATCACAAAAGAAGCGCGACATTACCCGACTTTCATTCATGATTTTGTGCTGCCTGTCAGATCGTGGCTTGATAAATAAGTCAAAAGCACTCATGCTAAAAGGAACGATGAACTGATTTTTTTTAAATCTAACTGCAGTCGACGAGCCTTAAGGCACGCAAACTATGTGTAGGTAGTTCTTAAGGTGATTCGATGGACGCCATATTTTGTGTCAGAACGGCATGCGATATATCGCATCAATTGGTTCCATATTTTCAGCTACTCGTCATTTTTCTCCTATTTTGAGATCGCAATTTTGTTGTCAGGAGTCTAAAGCACTCACTTACCAATTTTAACAAAGAGATTCAACGTAATAAAGGCGTGGTTTTTTCAGAAAGAAAACATCGCATTCGATACTGATATCGAAACTGCACTCGAATGCGATATTTTCTCTCTGAAAAAACCACGCCTTTA